ATTTGCTCTACTCTATATTGAGCACCCTTTTAAGAATAGCATTTTTTGGTTATTGGAATTTATTCCTTATGCACCAATCCTATACTATATATATATATATATATATATATATATGTGTGTGTGTGTCAGGTGGCCTGACGATTGCATCTAGCATAAAACAGACTGTCGCCTCTAAGTGTTGACTTCAGTGTTCACTTTTATATTTTCACACGCTCTATCTCTGATATTGAGCACTGTATCCCATAAATATAGCACACGTTATATATATATATATATATATATATATATATATATATATATATCAGAAATATAGTCTTAAGGTTACAATAATCACTGAAAAGTACATGGAATGAAATTGGAAAGACTTTCAGTTTCTGGTGTGAATTTTCTTTTCTTTTAGAAATGACTTATAATGTCTCATTTCGTAATAAGCATGCAAGACGAAAGCTTATATATAAAAACTGCTACAAATTTATTCGTACTGACTGGATTGATTTGGGATTTGCCGATAAACGTTTATTGTAAAAACGTAAGTCTACAAGCGACCAATTTAAAAAGTCAGAGCGACAATCTTAAAGAATAATAATAAAAAAAAACTAGCTTGATGTTCAAATTAGAACAAGTTAATGAAGAGTTAGACAGATTCGAAAGAATTACTGTAATAGAAAAAATAACCATTCAAACTGAGCTGCACCAGCGGTGTATGTAAAGAAAAAAATATAATAAAATAGTTGTTTGCGCGGATTTTTCGACGGGATGAAACAGTTGTTTAGAAACACATAACAAGTCTAAGTATCATAGCGAAGACCTCATCCAAAAATTGCCACGGAAATATTTATAGAAAAGACTCAGGGAGGCAACCTTACGACGGTGGGAGAATAGAGAACTGGTGCGCAAAGTTGTTCTGGTTTTGAATTTAGAGTTTTCCTTCTTGACATAACAACCAAGGCTATAAGACCCAGTCTGCCCTACTAATTACTGATAAATGGGAAGGAGAAGAGACAATGTCATACCTTTCCCAAGGGTATTTGTATGCAATACAATCGTAAAGAATTTATCTAAGCTCAACATGAGGTTTGTCACAGCTATATCTGAAGCAATAAAAGACATCTTTCAGGACGTAAGCGCTCATAGCTCTCCACGTCACCCTATCCCTTGTAGCTCTCAATGTTTCGTCCCTCTGTCACGTCACCCAGACCACGTTCTGTCATCTACTTGCTTAAACCCGTCAGGTATATCAAGCGTTGTTTTTCCCTTGTCTCTCTTTCCCTCAATTCGACTTGTGAGTATCAGATTCTCCAGGCTCTCCTTTCACGTGTCCCAGAAACTTCAACTACCTCTTCCTGATGTTAAGTATAAGCCTCGTCCTTGTTTGCATCACCTTCAAGACCTCATCGTTGCTCACACGCTTGGTCCATGATATCCTCAGCATCCTTCTGTAGAACCAAATCTCCATAGCTTCGAGTCTCTTCTTCATCTTTTTGAATTTTAGCGCAGTGTTAGATTGGCGTCAGGATATCATCACTTTACAAATGTAGCCGTAAATTCTATGCTAACAGGTACTTTTAACCTTTTTACTTCTCGCTTGAGGAACTCCCTTAGGGTTCCATCCTTTCCAGCCAATTTTAATCTGCGAAAATTTAAATGCAATGTCGCTCGCTACCTACCTTCTCCTGATTATTCTTTTCTCTTTTCTCGCTCATTATTAATGTTTCTATTCCTAATTCTTCCACACCCACATTGCACGGAGTGTCTTAAGAGCTTTATTGCATTGCATGGGGGTGATACCGACTAATATATATATATATATATATATATATATATATATATATATATTATTATTATTTATTTAAAATATGATTCCTCCGCTACATAAGTGTTCTCATGTTTCAAAAACAAGAGCTGGAAACTTCAATATAATTATTAGAATTAAAACTTCAATATAATTATTAGAATTAAATAGAATTAAAAAAAAAACAAGCTCCGTTTCATTTTCAAGCGAAATTACAAAAATTTCGCTTCAATATGGAACAGAGCTTGGAACTTTAATTCTATTTAATTCTAATAATTATATTGAAGTTTTTAGCCTTTTTTTGAAACATGAGAACTCTTATGTAGCGAAGGAATCATATTTTTAAATAAATAATTATAATTTAGGCGCTACTTTTGTATCGAGCACTGTTTTTTAGAAATAAAAACAGAAATACTAAAGAACTTCGGATACCGAACGTGTCCTTTCCTATTTTCTATATCTTTTCACACACACACACACACACACACACACACACACACACACACACACACACACACACACATATATATATATATATATATATATATATATAATCAAGAAGAAAACCGCAAAGATTCATTTCGCTTATAATTTATTTCGTTAATATTATAATTATTCCTTTTTTAAAAATATGATTCCATCGTAATACAGAAAATTTTCATATTTCAAAGCTGAAACTAAATTTATAAATTTAATTATAAAAATTAAACTTGAAATCTACAGTCCCGTTCATTTGCCAAGCGATGTTAGGAATAACTTTCTAAGAAAGTTACTTAAGTGGTAAGCGCAGACAATATTATTATAATGAGTTAAGGTTAAGGAAAATTAAATCTGTTTTGATTAAGGGTGGTAAAGTTTTAATTTCCCTAGATAGCTTATGTATCCAATATATGTTACTTACAAAGTCAGGTTAAGTTTGGGTGGGGTGGGTGTGCCTCCTCACAAACATAGACATCTGTTATTCAGCGTGTCGTCTGGGTTTTCAATGATAAAAAAATTGCATTTTTATTCATCCGCTTAATTCATATTTTTAAGACTTTCTAAAAGGGTCATTTAAATATGTGTAAGTCATATATTTAATATTATATTTTATTCTTACAGATTTAAATTACCAATAGTCCTTCTAATAACAGGAAAAATATTTGATAGTGCCTACAAAAATAACTATTTCATTTCTTTGATTTAGTAAATTTTTATTTTTTAGAAAATTAATGATGTCTAATTACTCATGTATGCACAAATGACATGGGTCATGTAATGACCTACAAGCTCTAGTTTTTCTTATTAATTTATATTTTACCCATGGTGTTTTATTGATTTCTTTTAAGTGCCAGAAATATTTAGATAGGGACGTTTTATTTCGGTATTTATTATTATTAAAGAACGTTTGATGTTAGTCCGTCTTCTTTTGAATTCATTCCGTGTGCATCCAATGTAGAAATTAACCATGTCTGGATCTTCAATAGATGAGATATTGCATTGATAATTTACTGATTCAACGCAGCATTTATTATTAAGAGGACAGTTTTGAGAATTTCTACAGTTACATAATTTTTCTTTATCTTCATTTATTTTTATTTTGCGATCTATATTTTTTGATTTTGGTATGATTGTTTATAAAATATATTAGCATTATGTTTCTTAATAATCATTTCTAAGTTTTCAGTACAACTGTAACTTAATTTTAGGGTAGTTTTATTAAAAATTGTACTGAGTTTACTAACTCGAGGAAAATGATTATCAATTAATGTAAGGTATATTTGTCTTAACTTATTTCTTACCATTTGGTGGTATTGGGGTGTATACCAAATGATTTTTTCTATTTCGATTCTTTCTATGGTGTTCATTTTCATTTTTTATATAATTGCGTTTTGGGCATTTATAGCCACTATTCTTTAAAGGTTTATTATAGATTAATTTTTATAATAAAGCTCAAAAGAATAATTAAATTTATGAATTTAGTTTCAGTTTTGAAACATGGAAATTTTCTCTGTAACGATAGAATCATATTTTTAAAAAAGAAAATAATTATATAAATTTAGACATTCACAGAGAAAACTGTTCTGCTGTATCAGAGCTCTCCAGTGTGGTTAGACGTCCGATAGCTTCAACCCGGGATAGAAACACGACCTATTTGTTATCAGTCAGATATTCTGTCTCTAGGCTATCATCACACGATAGAGAGAGAAGGAAATTTTAACGTTTTCCTGGATGAAATACGCCAGTGGCCGGGAGAGCTCAATTCAATTCGGTTGAAGAGCAATACGTTAAAAGCGGTATGAGCCACTGTTTTTAAACAGGATTTTCCGGAAGCTTATATATTGTCGTCCACTAACAGACCCGTTTCGATGTATCACAGCTCTTCAGTGTGGATAGACGTTCGATTGCATCAAGCCGGGATCGAAACCCGACCGATTTGGCATCAGTCAGATATTCTATATACGTGTATGTACGTGTATGTTTATGCGTGTAACATTTCAAGAATCGGCTTCACCAAACAATTCCTACTTTTGACAGTAAAAGGCAATTTCCATTGCAAATGGTAGACAATAATGCCGATTTAAATAATTTCAATATGTCCTTAGTCTAACACAATATTAAAATTGCATTAATCGCAAAATTAATTACCATGCGGGGTCGTTTAGAAATCGTTGACCGTTTACAAAAATGTTTTACGGAATCACTTTCTCCCTTTACTTCCTTGCCATATTTTCTCTCTATCTCTTTCGCGCACTGACTCTACCTGCCTTGCGCATTCACACAGGCATACACACACAGTCACACAAATATATATATATACACACACAAACATATATATACACTCACTCATATCAATTCATACCCTTGCCTATATGTAAAAAATATATACGAGCAATCGAAGAAAGCATAATAGGATATGGTTTTACCCGATTAAACACTGAAGCCGGCACTTCTTCTAATTATACGTTCGTAATGCAATTACGTTTAATAAAAAAAGAGGAACGAAAGACAAAACCCCAAATAACTAATGTGACCTCATAATAAACAAGTGACAAGTAGATTTTCCGAATAGAACAACTCTTTCTATCTAAGACTTTTTCGTCTTTTTTTTTCCTTTCATTCTCACCCTTTATTTTTTTTTTTTAATTTCCACTCAGCCTATAAAGAATTATACAATCTCATCGGCATGTGCAGCCTTCAATTTTTTTTTATGTTTGAGAGACACAATATGTCTATATTATTTAATGAAACACACATACACATACACACACACATATCTATCTATCTATCTATCTATCTATCTATCTATCTATCTATCTATCTCTCTCTCTATATATATATAAACC